ATATAATACATATAATATAATTATTATTATATTATCATATATATTATATATTAATATATATATAATAAGGCTCCTTCTAGTAGGGAGAGGAGCACACGGAAAACAAAATAGGCATGACTAAAAGGTCATATGTGCCAGGCCCACAGCTGACATCAGACAAACAGTGAAAAGCTGAAGGCCTTTCCCTTGAGGTCAGGAACAAGACAAGGATGGCCACTTTCACCATTTTTGTTCATCCTAGTACTGGAAGTCCTAGCCAGAGCAAGTAGGCAAGAGAAATAAATAAAAGCCATCCAAATTATAAAGGAAGAAGTAAAGTTGTCCCTGTTTGCAGACAACATGATCTTATCTATAAAAAACCCTAAAGATGCCACCAAAAAACTGTTAGAATTTACCAAAGAATTCAGTAAAGGCACAGGATACAAAATCAACATACACAAATCAATAGTATTTCCATACACCAATAACAAATTATCTGAAAAAGAAATCAAGAAATAGCTACAAAATAAAAAATACTTAGAAATCAATTTACCAAGGATATGAGAGACCTGTACATTGATGAAAGAAAATGAAGAAGACACAGATACATGGGAAGATATCAAGTGTTCATGGACTGCAGAGATTAATAGTGTTTAAATGTCGATATAACTGAAAGTATTCGTGGACTATTCATGGACTGCAGAGATTAATAGTGTTTAAATGTCGATAAAACCAAAAGCATTCTTCAGATTCAGTATAATCCCTTTAAAAACCCCAATGACATTTTTCACAGAAACAGAGACAATAATTTTAAAATTTGTATGGAGCCACAAAAGACCACAAAATAGCCAAAGCAATCATGAGCAAAAAGAACAAAGCTGGATCAGCTACATCACACTACCTGACTTCAAATTATACTACAAAGCTATAGTAATCAAAACACCACACTATCTCTAGGCATAAAAACAAACACACAAATGGAACCAATGGAACGGAGAATCTAGAAATAAATCCACACATTTGTGATCAACTGATTTTCAACATAGGTCCCAAGAACCACAATGATGGAAGGACAGTCTCTTTAATAAATGGTTCTGGGAAAAGTATACAACCACACGCAGAAAAATGACCTTATTCAAAACCAGCCTGAGCAAGAACGAGTCCCTGTCTCTATAAAAAAAATAGCTGTTGTGGCAGGTACCTGTAGCCCCAACTACTTGGGAGGCTGAGG